CACAGCGTCGGGGCTGGTGGAGATTGGGGCACACTGGATCCATGGCCCCTCGCCCGGGAACCCCGTCTTCCGCCTGGCCACCTCCTACGGCCTGCTGGGCCCAGAGGCTGCCCGGGAGGAGAACCAGCAGGCAGAGGCTGGGGGGCCCCCCCCGCTGCCCTCTGTCACCCCCGGCAGGTGCTGAGACTCCAGGCCGTGACCGAAGCCCACGACCTCTTTGACACCCTCCTGGCCTCCACCCGTGCTTTTCGGGAGGCTGAGGAGCTGCCAGCGCCCAGCGTGGGACAGTACCTGCAGGCAGAGATTGCCCGGAGGCTCCCCACTTTGGGGGGGGGCAAGGAGGATGCCCGACGGCTCCCGCTGGCCATCCTCACTGCCTGCTTCAAGCTGGAGTGTTGCATCAGCGGGACCCACAGCATGGACCTGGTGGCCCTGAAGCCCTTTGGGGAGTACGTCTCCTTGCCTGGCCTGGACTGCACCTTCCCGGGGTAAGCACAGGGCTCTGGAGGGGGACGCAGAAGAGCATTTTCAGGGGGCACCCCGTCCCTAGCGGTGCCTCCCCCCCCCAGCGGCTACAGCAGCTTGCCTGATCGCATGTTCTCGGCTCTGCCGGAGGGCACTGTCCTGCTCAACAAGGCGGTGAGGACCATCTGGTGGAGAGGGTCCTTCCGCGAGGAAGGGGATGAGAGCAGGGATTTCCCCGTCCGGGTGGAGTGCGAGGACGGAGATGCCTTCCTTGCCGACCACGTCATCATCACCGTCCCGCTGGGTGAGGACACCAATGCTCCTTGCCCTGCCTGGTCCCTCCAACCACTTTGTGTGGTTGGAGATGGGCAGATGGACCATTTTGGAGAGTTTGGGGATGGGGAAAGTATCTCAGACCCCACTGAGGAGCTTGGTGAGAGCTTCCCAATATTCTGCCCTATCATCTGCTTGCAGGTTTCCTCAAGGAACGCCACCAGGACTTCTTCCAGCCTCCTCTGCCAGAGCGGAAAGCAGAGGCCATTCGCCGCCTGGGTTTCGGCACCAACAACAAGATCTTCCTGGAGTTTGAGCGGCCTTTCTGGGAACCCCAGCAGCAGCTCCTCCAACTGGTGTGGGAGGATGAGTCACCCCTCGAGAAGCCCAGCACTGATCTGGAGGCCAACTGGTTCAAGAAGCTCATCGGATTTGTGGTCCTCCAACCCCCAGAGCAGTACGTGGCCGGGAGTGTCGGCACAGGGGCATCGCGGACCGTTGGTTTGGGCATCTCCCAGGCAACATAAAGGAGCAGCTTGGTCCTGTCTGAAGCTTCAAGACCTCTGGGTCACTGGTGGCCCGTGATGCAGTGGCATTCCCGGTGCAGGCAGCTCTCGACCCCATCTTTCCTCCCCAGGCACGGGCACGTCCTCTGTGGCTTCATTGCGGGGAAGGAGTCAGAGTACATGGAGAAGCTGAGTGATGCTGAGGTTCTTGGCACCATGACACAAGTCCTCCGCAAGCTGACAGGTACCACTGCCTCCTCTGCCCCTGTCACCCCAGCCTCCCCAGGAAATGTGCACCCAGATTTCTGGACCCCACCCAAAATCCATGCCCGCAGGGAATCCATGCCTGCCGGCTCCCAGGAGCGTGCTCAGGTCCCAGTGGCACAGCACTCCCTACACCCGGGGCTCCTACAGCTATGTGGCCGTCGGCAGCTCGGGGGACGACATCGACGTGCTGGCTCAGCCCCTGCCTGAGGACCCCGAGGACCCCAGGGTAATTACTTTAGGCCCAGGAGGATGCAGTGGCCATGGGGGGGAATTGGGACCCCCCCCAAGTGTGGGGACACAAGGACAGGGGTGGGAAGAGGGCGTCTCAGGCCTTCAGGAGCACAGGGAGGTAGCATTCCTCACTCCTCCTCCACTGGGGGGGTCACCGATGTTCAGGTCACCAACCAACCCCTCCCTGGCTCTTCCCGCTGAGCTCCATGGGGGCGGTGGAAACCCCATTTCCATAAAATTTGGGGACACATAGCTCCTTCCAACAATTTTCTGGCATCCTCACGGCATGGGGTGGGTCCCTAAGGAAGGGAAGGTGCCCACTCCTCTGTCTCTACATGGCTGCAGAGTGGGTCATAGCACCAAAAAGCAGGGAAATGAGGCAGGTTTAGTAGGACCTGGTCTCCCGACTGGGTTGGGCAAGGAGGTGGGGCCCCCAGTGCTCACCTCCCGCCTTGCCACAGCCTCTGCAGCTCCTCTTCGCTGGCGAGGCCACCCACCGCACTTTCTACTCCACCACCCATGGGGCCCTGCTGTCAGGCTGGCGAGAGGCCGAGCGCCTCAACCAGCTCTTCGAGGCACCCGGCCCCTCTCCTCGGCTCTGAGGCATGAAAATAAAGCCCTGTGCTTCGCAAGTCGCTGATGGTCAGCCTCCTTTATTGAGAAACCTCCGCAGCAGAGCGAGACGCGGAGGCTCCTCTCTCTCCAGGGGGGGTTGGATGCGGCTCCTCAGCTCAGGTCCGGCGTTAGTACCAGTTGGTACTGGCAATCATGAAGCGGGTGTCGTCCAGCGGGGCCT